GGCTCACTGCAACCTCTGCCTTCCAGGTTCAAGCAATTCTCCTGTCTCAGCCTTCCGAGTAGCTGACATTACAGGTGCATGCCACCATGCCTGGCTAATTTTTATATTTTTAGTAGAGACACTGTTTCATAATATTGGTCAGACTGGTCTTGAACTCCTGACCTCAGGTGATCTGCCCACCTTGGCCTCCCAAAGTGCTAGGATTACAGGTGTGAACCACCATGCCTGGCCACATTGTTTTTTTTTATTTTTAATTTTTACCCCTTCTTGCTGTGTTTAGAGTAGAACATAATACACAGAAGCATAAACTTACTTCACCAGTTTGAACAGAAAACCTTTGTTACTTTCACTTTTTAATATTCTGTTTTAATGAGGTTTTTTGTTTGTTTTTGTTTTTTTGTTGTTGTTGTTTGTTTTTTTGAGACCTAGTCTCACTCTGTTGCCCAGGCTAGAGCACAGTGGTGTGATCTCAGCTCACCGCAATCTCTGCTTGCCAGGTTCAAGCGATTCTTGTGCCTCAGCCTCTCAAGTAGCTGGAACCACAGGCATCACCCACCACACTCAGCCTGTTTCAATGTTACATAAATACAACAAATGCTTTAATAATATTTTGTAAAAGTGTTATATATATTTGAGAATGAAGTCAAACTTTTGGTTGAAGAATGAGTGTACAATTAGTATATTTAGTACTTTGAAGATACTAAACTCTACAGATATGGGAGAATCGTGAATGAATTATGCTTTCAAGAAAAAGACAAATTCATCAGTAAATGGAAAACAACAAAAACACAGACATGATAAAGAAATTATTTATTTTGCGGGGAATTACATAAAATTAGACCAATTTCATTTCTTGTATATCTGTAAGTCTAATTTCAGCATATAAGTCTATTTTAAAATAGCGCCTCTAGTATACATAGTTCAAAACATATAAACATGCCTGCATAATAAATTTTAAAATTTTGTTTATATATATTTTAAAAGTTATGACTAATTAAAATTTAAAATTATGTTAATATAATTTTCATTTAAAATTAAAACATGAATAAACCTTAATGGTATTAATTTGTGATTGTTTAAAATAATCTAACATGTAGAGTTACAAAGAAATGCTAATTTTGATAAAAATATATTCTATATGGATAATTTCAGTCTTAAAAATCTGCTCTACATCTCAGAATAAAGAGTTTGCTGAACAACAAAATAAATGATAGGATTGGTTTATAACCCAAATAATAGAGGAGATATCCAGGTGTCCTTACGTAAAGAAACAACTGACTAACTAAATCAGTTGGGGAAGACGTAACAAGTGTTCCTTCCAGAAGAATTTTAATTAATGTAAAAGGAATTTGAGAAATAGAAAATCACCATTAGAATGCCACACTATTAATTGCCACAGAAAAAATTTGGCAATAAATACTAAAATTGATTTAAGTAAAAACATATTTGCATAGTTTCAAAGTATATCCCCCAATTATTTATTAATTACAAAGAGATAAAAGTATAGTTGAGCAACGTGGCAGACATTATGTTAATCAAGCAATCAAAATTAACATAACCTTAACATTACCGAAAAATGGCTAACATACTTAAAAATGGCTAACATGGTACATTTTATAAATTCTTTACCACAATAAAAGAAAAAAAGATTAATATCACCAGTAGTATGGCATTGGCATCACATACTGGCTGACATGATGCACTGAAAAGGACACAATATCATTTCTGCAGTATTTTTCACAATAATGCATAACCTCAGTTTAATAATGAGAAAACAAAGAATCTCAAACTGAGGAACATTCTACACATAACTGGCTAGTATTCTTCAAAAGTCTCAAGTCATGATAGACAAGGTAAGAGTAAGGAACTGTCACAGGTGATAGAGACTAAGGAGGTGTAACAAACGCTTTGTAGGATCCTGAATTGGATGCTTAAATAAAAAAAAAGAACATTGAGGGAAAACTGATAAAATATGAATAAGATCTGTAGTTTACTTAATAGAACTAAACCAAGGTTAATTTCTTAATTTTGTAACTACTATGGTTATGCAAGATGTTAGCATTCAGAGAAGTTAAGTGAAGGATATACAGGAACTATCTATAGTATTTTTGTAATTTTATAAGTCTAGAAATATTTTCTAATAAAAAGCCTTTTTGTACAAGACACTTTTCAAGGTTTTATAGCTTTGAATATATATAAATAGTTCTAATATCGCTTGACACTTCGGGGGAGAGTAATCGTCCTGATTATTTCCATTCTTTTTCTTAATTTGCTGATGGAGACCTGGACTTAATCTCAGCTGGTGTGTAGAGTTCTCTCCTAATACAAATGGCTTATCTCACATTCAGTGAATTGATATAGTCTTAATTTTAAGTTATTAGGTAGGATTAGAATTTTCTGGGGAACTTGAAATCTGAATAAAATGAGATTAGAGTGACAAAATTTTCACCTGTCAGAGGCAAAAATAAGAAAATAATGGTAAAATAAATTTTTCATTAAATCGATATTTTTTAAATTTAAAGGATAGTTTCTTTTACAAGATTATTATCTTACCATTTTTATATTAAAGTGACATTTTCTTTAGGGAATAATGGTAGTGTGAAGTGGTAGATTTCATTTCATTTAATGTGAAAAAATAAAAAGTTGACAAATCTACATCTTCTGTCCATTGTGTGTGTGTATATATATGTATTCATGAACTTCACTGCTATTTGAAATTCAAAGTCCTAAAATCACAAATCTACATCATTTTATTTCCCTATCCTTGACATTAAGCCAGGCTCCATTGATTATGTTCACATCATTAAGTGTAACGAAACACAGTTAATCCAGTAGCTTTTACTTAAGCATGTTTTATTAACCACTGCTTACCTATAAAAACTAATTCTAGGCTGGGCATGGAGGCTTACTCCTGTAATCCCAGCACTTTGGGAGGCCAAGGCAGGTGGGTCACCTGAGGTCAGGAGCTTGAGGCCAGCCTGGCCAATATAGTGAAATGCCAACATGGTGAAGCCCTTTCTCTACTAAAAATACAAAAATTAGCTGGACATGGTAATGCACACCTGTAGTCCCAGGACTCGGGAGGCTGAGGCAGGAGGATCACTTAAACCCAGGAGATGGAGGTTGCAGTAAGCCAAGATCATGCCACTTCACTCCAGCCTGGGTGACAAAGCAAGACTCCGTCTCCAGTAAATAAATAAATAAATAAATAAATATTCTCTTTTCTCATTTAAAGGAAATAGAAATTTCAGCATGTCTTCACCTATTGGAGCCCAAATATACTGGAACGCTATTCTGTGTTTTGTGTAAGAAGACCTTTACTCCAAATCAGCAGAATCATAACTCAATGTATGTAAAACATTTACTCTTAAAAATAAAAGCAATTCATTGATATCATGCATTTGCTTCATCTATTCTTAAAATATTAAATAAAACATCAAAGGTAGCCATAGGTTACACTAGTTCTGCCCTAAGCTTCTCCAACATTTAAAAAAAAATTACACTAGGCCAGGTGCGGCGGCTCACGCCTTTAATCCCAGCACTTTGGGAGGCTGAGGTGCATGGATCAAGAGGCCAGAAGTTCAAGACCAGCCTGGCCACTATGGTGAAACCCTTTTTCTACAAAAAATACAAAAATTAGCTGGGCATGGTGGCAGGTGCCTGTAGTCCCAGCTACTCAGGAGGCTGAGGCAGAAGAATCGCTTGAACGCAGAAGGTGGAGGTTGCAGTGAGCCAAGATCACACCACTGCACTAGGGCCTGGGTGACAGAGTGAGACTCCATCTCAAAAAATAAACAATTAATTAAAATAAAAAGTAGCAGCACTAAATTTTAGTATATTCCTGGCCAACAGGTAAACAGCCAGTTGGTGCTATTAGGTATCAGTCATAAGACCGAGAATGAAGTTTATATCAATAAATATGATTTGGAATATTTGGTAAGTATTTTAAGATATAATGCTCTACACTTAGAATTCCAGGTACAAATATTGTGCCCTTCTGTGCAGGAAGAGGATGTATTCTAGTGAGTCAGAATTTACACACATTTGTATAAAATAAGGCACATAATTAAAGCGTCATTAAAGCACACTTTTTTTTTTTTTTGAAATTAGTTCTCACTCTATTGCCCAGGCTGGAGTGCAGCAGTGCAATCATAGCTTACTGCACCCCTGAACTCCTGGGTTCAAGCCGTCCTACTCCTTCAGACTCCCAAGTAGCTGGGACTACAGGTATGAGCCACCATGCCCTTCTCTAAAGCAAACTTTTGACTTTCAAGGCACAGTTAGTAGTATTGGGAGAAGCCCTGAAATATGCTAATATTTTAACATTGGATTATTTTAGAATAAAAGGAAGCAGAATAGCTTATGAAAGCAAAGCAGTGGTGATCAAAGAGAAGCCTAACTTGTCTCCTCACTCCATTTCATTTTATGAATGATTTACTAAAAATGCCACTTTTTCTCAGTTTGCATGTGTTAACTTCAGATTACTCAGCGAAGAAAATGACTTACAGTCAAATCTGGTATTACCTGAAAATGTATCTTTCCTTAATGCCACTTAATTAGTATTAATGAACTTCTTAATTTTAATGTCTTTATTTTGTATTTGCCCTAACAGATGACAAAATGGTTTACAATAAATGTAGTATAACACTTAATGGCACAAAATAGTTTAGAGTGTTCTGTAACATTTACTATTAACTACAGCAGGCCTTATTTATTTATTTGTTTGTTTGTTTATTTATTTGTTGAGAGAGTGTCTCACTCTGTTGCCCAGGCTGGAGTGCAGTGGCACACTCTCAGCTCACTGCAACCTCCACCTCCCAGGTTCAAGCAATTCTCCAGCCTCAGTCTTCGAGTAGCTGGGATTACAGGTGTGTGCCACCACCGCCTGAATAATTATTGTATTTTAAGTAGAGACTGGGTTTCATTCTGTTGGCCAGGCTGGTCTCAAACTCCTGACCTCAGGTGATCCACCTGCCTTGGCCTCCCAAAGTGCAGGGATTGCAGACATGAGCCACTGTGCCTGGACAGCCTGATTTATTATTATCCTCATCCACCCTCCATTTCCTTTTATTCAAATAGCTTCTGTCTGGGACTGCAAAGATAGACATCTGGATGTGAAAGAGGGAGATTTGAGATTCGCCTATGGCTCCAAACAATCATTAAAAAGTCTACATCTAACTTAATTTTGGAGAACATTCCTAAACTGAATCTCTTTATCCTTATATTTGCCCTTACTCATATTTGCAAATAAGTGAAATCCTTTTTTCTCCACCCTTCCTCCCACCATGATTAATTTGGAAGACCACCATATGTCAGGCATTTCTATGATTATGATTATGAATGATTGTAGGCAAGGTATTGATCAAAGATAATCCCTTATCAGGGGCAAGAATTTAGAGATTTCTGAATAATAAATTATATCTCTGCTTGTCAACCTAATAACTTCCCAATATATCAAAAAGGGAAGGTAGTTCTCTTCCTTATGCATGCATAACTTTCTACTGGAAAATAATTTAGAGGCAAATGAAAGGATTTCTAATGGAACTACGCATTTCCTGGGTCAGGACCAATGATCTTCTAGGGGAAATGTGTGAATAATGGCTCATTCATTACTTGCTAGCACAGAGATGGAAAAGCAGACGTTCCTACCACATATGCATTTATAGAGGGTGACATTTCTTTAAACAGAATTCCAACTGCAGAAAGGATTACAGATATATGATCTGGGGATTGGAATAACTGCTTTGTATGGAGTAAGCCAAGCCTCACTCTGGTTTTCACATTTTCACCAAACTAGGTATTCTTATCCTTACTAAAGCTGCAATCTACTACCAGTTTTTGTTTCAATGAAGGTGAAACATCTTTGCATGCCAAGTGTAAAATTCTGCTTCTCTCTCTCACTGAGAGCTGTAAATAGGAGCTACATATAGTCATCAGATACCTGGTCATGGTCTGCTGATCTCTCAGGCTTACTCCTGTCAGAATTTGGAGGTAAACTGGAGGCAGCCTCTGTTTTTATGTCTCCAGTGGCATGAGGGAAAGGGAAGTTGGGCATAAAGCGCTTAAGAAAGCGAAACTCACTATTGCCAGTGCCAGTGGCTGCACATATTTCATAGGGACAAGGCTGGGATAAGGATCCATTGCCTCGTCCTTGTACCAGATTGTTAGAGAAATTACAGTCATCATAGAAATGCTCTTGAATTGTGAACTTTTCTCTATATTTAATCTTTTGGTAGACATGTATAATGAAGATCACTGTGACAGAAAGGAGAAAGAGAAAGGAAAGGACGGCCAGAGAAATGACCAAATATTTAGTGGATGGATTTACCTTTCTAGAATGCTTGGATGGATCCTGGAACTGCAGGTATGGCTCTGAAAAGCCATCTACCAGCAGGATGTTGAGTGAGACAGTAGTGGAAAGAGCTGGTTGGCCATGGTCTTGAACAAGAATGATCAATTTATGCATCATGGGGTCTCTCTCAGATATGTGCCGTAACATACGGATTTCTCCATTTTGTCTTTGAACAGAAAATAACCCAAGGTCAGTGGCCTTAAGTAGATGATATGAAAGCCAAGAATTCTGACCTGAGTCACCATCCACAGCCACCACTTTGGTCACCAGGTAACCTGCCTCTGCAGACCTGGGTACCAGGTCATTGCAGGGCAAGGTGCCATTCTGCAGTGGGTACAAGATCAATGGACGATTGTCATTGTCATCTAGGACAACCACTCTGACAGTAACTTGGCTACTCAGTGGCAGGAAGCCCCCATCAGTTGCCTTTACCACAAACTGAAAATCTTGAATGGCCTCATAATCCATGGTTCTTAGTGCATAGAGCTTCCCATTGTCTGAATTTATGGAGATGTAAGCAAAGACTGACAGATCTCCACTTTTTGGAGGCAACAGAGAATATGTTATTTGGGCATTTTCACCCAAATCAAGATCCTCAGCATGGACTTTGCCAATAAAAACTGCAGGACTATTGTTTTCTCGAACAGTCAAGATATAGGAATCTTTCCGAAATACTGGAGGATTGTCATTAACGTCAGATATTAGCACCTCTATCACAGTCTCAGTGGACAAGCTAGGTGGTCCAGTATCCTTGGCAACAAGGGTGATATTATAGCCTGAGACCTCCTCCCGATCCAAGCTTCTATCAGTGACCAGCGAGTAAGAATTCCCGAATGTATGTTTGACTGCAAAGGGAAGATCTCCTCTGAGGAAGCAGGTGACTTTTCCTCCCACTCGAATGTCCCGGTCTCTGATAGTGAAAAGGGCTACTACTGTCTGTGGTGGTGAGTCCTCAGGGAGTGGGCTGGACACAGAGGAGACCATCACTTCGGGAGGATTGTCATTCACATCCACCACTTCTACCAGGACTTTGCTATGGGCAGAGAGGCCTCCACCATCTGTAGCTTGAATGTCAATGTCGTATGTTTCAATGGCTTCAAAATCTAGAGGTCCGCTTAGTCGAACCTCTCCAGTTTGAGCGTCAATCCGAAACGTCTGGAGAATTGCTTCTGGGTTTTGAGCTAAAGAGTAAGTTATTGCTTTGTTGGTGCCCTCGTCTAGGTCCATGGCAGTCACCATGGCCACCAAAGAGCCATTGGGGCTGTTCTCTGGGACCTGGGCTCGGTACACCAGTCGCGAGAACTGGGGCACGTTGTCGTTAACGTCCAGAACCACCACGCGGATGTGAGCGGTGCCAGACTTGGGCGGGGACCCGCCGTCTACCGCCGTAATTGTCAAGTTGACTTCAGGCTGCTCCTCTCGGTCCAGGGGTTTGTTCAGCACCAGCTCAGCATATTTAGGCCCGTGGCTGCGGAAGCGGGTGTGCAGGTGGAAATATGCGTTGGCACTTAGGGTGTAGTTTTGGAGGCCGTTGAGGCCCACGTCCAGATCCTGGGCGCTCTGCAGAGGAAAACGTGAACCCAAGGGGGTGCTCTCCGGAATCTTTAAAAGCGGCTCCTTGTTTAGGAAAACTGGGGCATTGTCATTGATATCAAATACCCTGACCTCAGCACTGAAGGACTGCAGAGGTTCCACCAGGACTATTTCAAAGCGCAGAACGCACGGGTCGGCTTTGCCACAAAGTGACTCCCGGTCCAGTTTCTCCTTCACGAACAAATCTCCGGTCTTGCGGTGGAGCCGGAAATGCATTTTGTTGCCGTCGGAAACCAGCCGCGCCCCGCGCGCAGCCAGCTTCCCTACCTCCAGTCCTAGGTCCTTAGCTACGTTAGCCACAAACGAGCCGCTCTCCATTTCCTCTGCCACTGAATAGCGGATAGTTGTCGCACCCCCCACAGATAGGCACAGAAAAATGAGAAGACATCCCACTTGCCTGCTTTGCAAAGATTTTCTGCACGCACCCGCCATCAGTTCTCACAAGCGCACTCTCTGCAATCGAAGCCAGCTGTTGCAGATATACTTTCACTTTTCTCCAACAGGTTACTGCAACAGCTGCTCTCTGCTTCACTAGCCTCTAACCGCAGCGCCCCCAAAGCCTAGCCGAGCCGGTTAAGCTGTTTTGCACTTGAAAAAAAATTTGCATTGAGCGACTCAACTCCTTAGTCTGGCGAATGTATTAATAGATATGTTCTCATTCCGGAGATTTGGGTAGAGGTTGAAAGTCTGTTGCCAAAGCAACAACAGTCTCCCCTGTTAATTCCCTTTAAGGAAAAATAAAGCCTTTGGGAATTGAGAAGCCAATGAGATTAGTTGTTCAAGCTGAAGTCATTCTATCTGCTAGCCGTCTGGAGCCACTGAAGCAGTGGGCGAAGAGCAACAAGTTTAAGCTACATCTGCACTCTCTGCAGTCCATCCAGAAACCAAGAAAGAAGCACAAGGATCCTGCAGGGTCTTCGGAAGCCCAAGCCACATATATGAGGGAGGGAGCAGGAGAACGCAGAGGAAATGGTCAGTAGGAAAAGGAAAGGGAACAGACAGACATTCTGCTTCAGAAACTTGAGGTCCAGTAGGTACACTGACAGGGGACTAAGCCAACTGGCCTCTTGATTTGCGCTATGCTATCAATGCTACTTCTACGTATATGCTCCCCTCCAAAATATGTGTATACATGTGCACAAAGGAAGCAGCTGGCTTGTCACCTATGATTATAACGGCAGTATCATTTATTGGATATGATTTCTATGTACTGACACTATGACAAGTGATTTACAGGCATTATTTAATACTTGCAACAACTATATGATGCAGACATTTAAAAAAAAAAGACAAAGGATAGGCGCGGTTATGTCAATGTCCCCTACCTAGCAAATATTAGAAATAAAACTCAATTTAATTTTGTCTGATTCCCAAGTGTATGCTCTTAATCAGCACACTACTCTGCTTCCCGGATAACATAATGAATAAATCAAATGAAGATAAATATTTGGTTTTGGATTTTAAAGGATATAAAATAAGATTGCTTACACATATTGAGAATTGCCTAATAGAGATACAGGAGATATTTGTTGAGAGTTTCCTTTATGATCACAGAATGTTTAAGAATGATAAGGCATTTTGGAGAAATGAGATCCAGTCTCCTTCTCACCCACCATCCACTTTTTAAAAAAAAACAGATGAAGAAACTAAGGCCCCAAGAGATAAAGTCACTTGCCAAGTCCATACAGCTATTCATGGCAGTGTAAGAACTAGAACTTGTCTTTTGATGCTGTCTCATGCTCACTACCCAAAGCGTTTGACTTCCCATTTGTGCTCAGTATTTTATGTCCCAGGTACTATACAATCACAGCCACTTAAGAGAAATCTAAATTATATTTTCTAACAGGAAAAAAAAATGAATGAAAATAGAAAGTGTACACAAGATTAATTACATTCTAACATGAGGGAGTTAATGAATCTCTCAATCTCTGTTACATATTTTAACACCTGGCTTAAGTGTGCATCCTTAAACAGTTTTAGTTTTAGTTTTAGTTTTGCCTCTTTTGAAAACTATATATCTTACTTGAGTATGAGTAAAAATAAAATAAAACTATATATCAAGTAAGTGTGCAGTAGGTAAACCTTTGAATTTTGTTTCTTTCCCTCATTATTTAGCTCAGTGTGAGATTGGTGTTATCTTTAGCACTAGTTCATTTATTTTCATTACTGTATGGAATTACAGGGTATTGTCAATGCTCTTTAGCTAGAGACCATCAGAGACACACCTGTAGTTGAACAAAGTTATATTTACTGACTTATTGTAACAACGGAAACTGCACACCGTAGGGAACCATGGAGCGTCTCAGTGAAGGAATGTTAGAAAGAACATATATTTGGTTTTGTGTTAGATGATTTGGGGGAGGTTTGAAGCAGGGTGCTCCAGATTGGATGCCATCATAAGTGGAGTTAATTCTACGCTGAACATATTGATAATTCTTATGTAGAAGGTACAAGGAATGGAGTGAGGCTAATGCTGTGATTGGTTGATTGGTAAATAAGCTGTAGTGACTAATATTAGCCAGGACAAAAAGATACTTGGGCATTTTTGTGGAGTGGATGATACTCTTTTTGTCTGTATTTAGACACACTTATGGTGTGCTTTTGTTTCCCTCTTGCACAATCATAGTCACAGAGTGGCCCTGTCTGATAACGGTGTCCTATGAAATCACTTTTATTCAACAGAAGATCACTATGGCCTACCTATGAGTGTCAGGCTAGATCTTAGCTCTCAGGGACTACTTTTGTCTTTTTCAGTATGAATGCAGCAAAATTCGTTTACCCATTTTGTTGTTCTACTGCTCATAGCATATCATTGTACATGTCACTTTGTGCACATGTATACACATATTTTGGGGGGAGTATATACATAGAAGTAGTATTAATATCATACAGTATGTTCTTTTCAACTTTACATGATGTCACCAAATTGCTTTCTAAGAAGTTGTACTGATTTACACTCTCATCAGCAGTTCAACTTCTAGTTGCTCAAATTATTTCCAGCACTTAGAATTACTAGTCTTTTAAAATTTTGACCATTCTGGTGAGTGACTATGTTCATATTTCATTTATTAATTTTTATTTCTCTGATTATTAATTATTGGTGAAGTAGGGCATTATTTAATATATTGGAATATCCTTTTTTGGGAAGTTTTTTACAGTTATCTTGCCTATTTTTAACATTGCATTGCGTACCTGTTTCTATTAATTTCTATTACTTCCTTATATTCTGACTATGAGTCCTGAATATATTTAAAAAGAGGTGTTTATGCTTAGTCAATATACATAAACAGAGAATAGACTTGAGCAATTTGGATAGAAAAGCATATAATACCCACTAATGTTACTTAGCATCATCAAAAAGGCTACTGGAGAGGTTTTTAAAAAAGGAAATATTTATTTAGTGATTCACAAATTATGCAGAAGCTTCTCCCATCCTAGGAAGTCTTAATACAATCCATTTCCAAATAATTCATTTAAAAAATCATAAGTTAAAAAAATACATTCTTGACTGGGTGTTGGCTCATGCCTGTGATCCTAGTATTGGGAGGCTGAGGCAAGAAGATCACCTGAGGTCAGGAGTTTGAGACCAGCCTGGGTAACATAGCAAGTCCGTTATCTATAAATAAATAAATACATAAATAAATAAATAAGGCATGCTGGCAAAGCCTGTGGTCCTCGTTACTTGAGGAGGGAGCATTGCTTGAGGCCAGGAACTTGAGGTTCCAGTGAGCTATGATTGTACCACTGCACTCCAGCCTGGGTATCAGAGTCAGTGCCTGTCTCAAAAAAAGAAATTATGAGGTGAAGTATAAGCAAGCTGCTTTTCTTTTTTCTTTTCTTTTTGTTAATTTATTGACAGATAAAATTATATTTACCATATAAGACATGATATTTTGTAGCATATTTACATTGTACAATGACTAAATTCAGCTAGTTAACATGTATGTTACCTCACATAGTTATTATTTTTGTGGTGAGAATACTTAACATCCATGTCCTGGGCATTTTTCAAGCATAGAATATATTGTTATTAACTATAGCCACCATGTTGATCTTTTGAACTTATTTCTCTTAACTGAAATTTTGTATCCTTTTGGCTCCCCAACCTCTCCTTCCTCATCTCAGCTCCTGGAAAACACCATTCTACTCTCTAGTTCTATAAGATCAACTTTTTAAGATTCTGCATATAAATGAGGTCACACCATTATGAGAAACAGTATACAAGGTCCTCAAACAATTAAAAATAGATATCAACCATAGAATCCAGCAATTCTACTACCAAGGATATATTCAAAGGATATGAAATCAGTATGTTGAAAAGATTTCTGCACTCCCATGTTCACTGCAACATTATTCACAATAGCTGAGATGTGGAATCAACCTAAGTGCCCATTCTTGGCTAAATGAATAAAGAAAATGTAGCATATGTGTATAATGGAACATTTTTCAGCCTTCACAGAGAAGGAAATCCTGTGATTTGCCACAACGTGGGTGAACCTGAAGGAGGTTATGTTAAGTGAAATAAGCCAGGTACAGAAATGCTGCTTTTCAATTCAGTTCTTCTGATTCTTAATCTGTTTGGTTAGCCCCAGGAGATTTATTAGTATCTGCTTGATGGAATCAAAATCCAAAATATTTTCTTTTTTCCCTGGAAAACCTTAGGACCTTTGAACATGGTGGTATTTTATTTTTTTAAGTCTGCATTCTTTCTGGTGAAGGTAGAATTGGGGGCCCAGAGACTAAATCTACAGCTTGTAAAGGCAGGATCAAAACCTACATGTTGGGAAGAGGGACAATCCACAGTTAGTATGATATCATGAAGTTTTGTGAGAACAAAAATTCACTTCAAAACTGTATCTGAGTACTAACTTCTAAACTTTAAAAATCTTATTTTGGAATATTTTAAGAGTTTTGGAAGAGTTACAAGAGTGTTCGTAATCACTTATGACGTACCCATTGACTTACCTTAACTAAACTTTAATAAGGGCTCCCCTTCTCCTCAGAAGCCCCTGAACATTAGCTGACCCCAAATCTTGAGCAACCTCTAAAAAGCAGAGCATCTCCCACTTAACGGTTCATTCTGAGAACTGGCCAACCACAGGAGGGAAAATCATATTTCCAGTTAAAGTGCCCCGATCATGCCATCTGTTCATCCTGCCCCCTTGCCCTGCTCCCACACAAAGGTCCTGCTAACCCTGCTTACACTTTCTTTTTTTTAGCTCCTTTTTTAAATTGATTTTTAGACATTTGAAGATTTCTGTTGTCAGAGGGCCTGTAAAAGTCTTTTTTGAAAAAGGCTGTTCCTTACCTAAATCCAGATTTGTTTTTATTAGATATAATAATAAATTACCATATAACCTTCACCTAGATTTATCAATTTTGCTACATTTGTGCGCTTTTTCATATTTATCTATTACTATATTATATAATACATTATTATATATACGCATGCATTATTTAAAATAGTTATCTCTCCCTCAATTTTCATGGGAGATGTATACCTCTCCACTCCAGTGCTGCCGAGTTTAGCTGCACAATATGCTTTGACTTTACATTGGAGTTAATATACTTTCCTACCTCTTGACTTTGGAGTTGGCCATACGAGTTACTCTGG